GCAAGCTCGGTTTACTAACTTAAGTGTTAATCCACATACATTCAATTGAAAATTCTTCATAATCTATTGAAATGTAATTGCTACTAGGTTTTAGAATCAGTAGCTATTGCGTACTACTAATCCCAAAATAGCATTCATCGAAACAATTTAATCATTTAGTTGTACACCTAACCAATCAAGAAGAACAAAATAAACATTTAACACAATGAATTAAACACATTAATAAAGAGAATTATAAAACACAAATTAATTGAAAATCATAAATTGGATTTGAAATAATCCCCAATCACAAATATAATTAGTTACCCATGAAATATTCACAAATAACTAACAATTTTTTACAAAACATTGATGGAAAAAGTGAAAAGAAAAACTTATTGATAAAGAGAGAAATGGTAGAAAATCCTCCAATATCAATGGGTCATCTTCTCCAAGCTAACGCATCATCTCCATATTCTAATCTTTTCCATGTCTAAAAAAATATAGGTGAAAAAAAAAGGAAAAAGAAATAAAACAAAAGGCCAGAAGAAAAAGAAGAACCAACTGCTCCTCTAAAGTTCTAAGAATGAAAACCTTGTGTTTGGTTGAATATTTTAACCTAAAACCTAAAGGAAATTGTAGCATTGGTCCCTGAAATTTTGAAAACAATTAAAAACGACCCGGGTGGCACCTAGGCACCGAAATAGTGGCGCCTAGGCGCCACAGTTTCTATTTTTTGTTCGGGGCGCCCAGCTTGCCGAATTTTTTTTTCTTTTATTTAAAAACATCATCTTTCAACGCCTTCATGCTTCCTTTATATTTTTCATCTTTTCTCGCATAAATACCTTCAAATCATCGTTCAAAGTTGGGTTTTCGCCTACACAATAAAAATAACTAAATTAAACAATAAATCGCTAATGAAACTCACAAATATCGAAGTTTAATGGTCCGGAATAGTGCAAAAACCCACACTTATCATTGTCCAATGGAAAGAAGATTGAGAGATAATTATGGAAGGAGATATGTACCAAGAATTGAAAGAGTAGATGTGGAGATGGAACCAACATGACTAACAGACATATATGAACCATCAGCAGTATAAATACCAGGACTTGATTTATAGATTTCTTCTCAAACAAGAGAGAAGGATCAGGGGTTGTATAATTGGAACATGCTAAATCAATAAACCAAGAGAAAGATATACCCGAGGAAGCAACCAAGGTAGTGGGAGTACGAAATAAAAATTGATGGACAATTGCCTCAAGATCGGATGCAGTAAAATACGACAAATTAGGTATAGAGGAAGACTTTAAAGCTGATGAACTAGTAGATGCAACAACTATCTTGGGGATAGAGGTATGTACCTCAGTTTTCTAAGCATCTCTTGCATCCTTAGCCTTTTTCATGGCACAATTAGAAATCCGATGATTTTCTTCCTTACAATAGTTACATTGACCAATGAAAACGACGTCACTTTGAAGAAGCAGTAACCACAATTGAACTGGTACAATAGCTATGACTAGATCAATAGAATGAACTCGACGAGTATTCTGATGTGTCTCACCAAATGAGCTCAATAAGAGCAACATCAAGTATTGGTAGTGAGGGCGATGAAGTATAAGGCTCTAGTATTCTCAAAGTCATCTTGAATATGCATCATAAAATGGATGATCTGTCGATGATCTCAATACTTTGAGAAGAGTTCAATAGATTTATCATTGAGAAAGGATGGATCAGCTTAAGAGAGCTTCCCAAAGGCTACTAACTTGAGATTGAAACTTGGCAATGGATTGATAAAGCTCTTGATGCAATTGATACAATTTAGACTCCAACTAAAATTGGAAAGCAGTAACACTAGAGCAATTGTATCGATTTGCCAAAAAATAGAAGGAACGGAGGTGTTAATGAACCAGAATAAAATTTTACAATGGATAGCTCCCATATCTCAAGACAGTCACAAATAAGGAGAAACACATTCGGCAGATGAAAATAGAGGCAGATATAAAGGAAGAGAGGTGAGAAATTTTCAAACCAATTTGTTAAGTGTGAAAAAATTGGCCACAGAGCTAATATTTTTAACTTCAGGAATGATGAAACCTATATGAGAGAATCACCTTCATAAAATTTATTATGTTGTCAAGTGTAGTTCTAGTCTACCAAATCAATTAAGACCAACCAATGTTGAGGAAGCCCTCAAAAGGAAAATATGGAAAATAGTGATGAAAGAAGAGCATAAAGTTTTAGAGAAAAAGATTAAATGAACTCTTGTACCTCATCAACCAGAATACAAGATTGTAGGCAACAAATGGGTCATCGGAACCAAATATAGTTTAGATGGCAAAGGGCTTCCACCAAAATTCAAGAATTGACTTCTTTGAGACATTTAGCCCAGTTGAAAGCCTCAATTATTAGTGTTATATTGACAATAGTAGTGTCAAAACTTTGGGACATCAAGCAACTCAACATAAACAATGCATTTCTTAATGGAGAATTGCAAGAATCAATGGATATGAGAAGCCAGATTCTTTTTCAAAAACAAAAGTGAGGTACTTATGGTTTTAATTT